AAAAATAGTTCTTTGAAGAATACATTAATATTTTCGTATTGGAGTAGAGTTTCAAGACTACCAGTAAGTCAGTAATATGAGAGGTATTCACCATATTTCGTCTAAGGTGATGAAGTAGTAGAATTTTCCCACAATGATATGAGTGGGATGAGAACAACTTCTGGGGAAGCAAGGCAATGTAAAATTCAATGGAAACGTCAGCTCTACTCATATCATTGTGGGAAAATTTTACTACCAATCCTTCATCACCTTAGACGAAATAGGATGAATACCTCTTATAACACATTAATAAATTCATGCTTTAGTAAATGTCATTTATGTTGTAATGCGTGGCCCATCGCAGCATAGTTTTTGATACCTTGTGCTCAATTTTCCCCTTCTGGACGCAACCACCCCTTTTATCTACTCTGGTCACAATATCTTCTTTTTAGGAGCTCACCATATTTTAAATGCACTAGCAAACCATTTTATGCAGCCATTTGCAGTCTTCCGAAGTCATAAAATGCAGAACTTTCGAGCTTTCACTGAACAAATAGTGAAATTTGATTATGCCTTACTTGGGCTTGAATCTAATGTCCATAATTTTGACCAAAAAATTATGATTAACCTTTCAGACAATCGTGTACCTGGCTTTGAGGAACCTAGATAACGCACGATGAGTTGGGAATATGCTGAAAAATTGGAGCCTGTCAGTCGTCTTGACTGCCAGATTATAGTGGATATTAGTGTCGTTCCAAAATAAAATTCACTCTTTTACTCCAATCTTCACACCCGTATAGGCAATGGGACATGAACAGTAGTGTCATAGTAACGACGAGCCAATTTTGGGCACTTTGGCTATTTATTCAATGGGCTGTTTGTCGAGAACTGATCTTTATCGCTTGGCAACAAACGGCTTCTCATTGACCATCCATAAGTCCCATTAGGTTAGACACTGCCAGAACAAGGCTGTTTAGTTCTTGAACTCTGAGCAACACGAGGAGAATAAAGGTTTCTTCGGACAGAACAGGTGGTGAACGCATCCAACTTGGTGAACGTGATTTGCTCACTGAAAGGTGTGCCAACGTGAACATCTGCATCATTTGGCAAAAACCTTTACTACTTGGCCGCAAGACAATTTAGGGCCAGATAAACATGCCGCCCAGTGGGTGGGCCATGTTGACCGAATTTGGTGCATGCGAAAACCCTAAAGGCGCTTAGATTTTGCTCTCTTTTCCTTTGTCTTAATAATCTTCTTATTCCCAACAAAATTTTACCTTTTTTCCCTGCTCCCTATTTCGTTAAGGCCTAACTTTACCTCTCTCATCCATTAATACTTCTTTTTTGGAATTTATGTGTATATCTGTATGCATTTATATACATGTGTGTGGTTGCGTGTGTGAATGCATGCGAACGTGCTTGTGTATTTTTATACAAATGTGTGTGTGTGTGTGTGTGTGTGTGTGTGTGTGTGTGTGTTTGTGTGAGTGGTCATGAGGATGTGTGAAGTGTGCGATTTAAGGAAAGAGGTGGAGAAAGCAGGGAATTTAGACATACGAGGAGAAATAGAGGCTGGAAAGCATAGTTTAATCACATGTCCCATTCTGCTTAACTTTGTTGATGTAATCAACACCTTCGAACATCAATTATCTTCCATGGCACACTAGCAAAGTGCTTCCAAGGATCTGTTCAAGTTGTAGTAAATTTCAGCAGGCGTTAGTATTTAATATAAGGTGGTAAAATTAATTTGAAAACAAGCGTAAATCCTACAAAAGTGTAATCAACCACTTAGTTACTTGTATACGGCAAGAAAAAAGACACAGT